TTTAATAATCTGTTATAGATATCACTATAACATGTCATGATAAAAATTTTATTAATATTTCATTTAGTAATAAATGGAATGTTAGTAAAATTAAAAGTGCAGGTTTATCAAAAAATTTAAATAGTGAACATCCATTTTTTCTGGATCTTCATAGAACATATGCTGATTATTTAAATTCTAAAACAGCATTAATAAACAAGAAGTTAGAATTTTATAATTCAATATCATATTCTATTCTTGAAGAAAATCAGGATCCTATTCAAATAAAACTTAAAGTTGGCGATTTTGTGGAACTACTTGAAGAGACTGAAGGCATTGCATATGCTAAAATTGAGTTTATTTTTCGGCATCAAGCAAATAATGATCAATATCATGCATTTTTTTTATTTAATTGGTTTCAAGCAACGAACAATCTTGATCCTATATTAGGATGTCCACTCTATAATATCCAGAAACCTGAAGACTCACGTTGGTTACGGATTTTTCCAATTAATTTTGTCGATCATACTCCATGTGTGCATTTTATACATAATTGCACAAATACATGTATGACTAAACATGATGAAACTAATCAAAGTTATATTTTAAATAAATTTTATTATAATGTAGTATGAACTAGAATAATGCAAAAATTTGTAAAGCGTTTAATTTGGTTAATTAATTATTATATTGTTATTAATATATTTATTCAAAAAAAATAGCTTATAGAAGTTTTTTTTTATAAATCTTTTTATACTATTATAGAGCAGACCATTTAATATAATTATAATTATTTGATCAAGGTACTGTACACAATAGCTAACACCTTTCAAATAATATTGAAAAAAAATTTTTAAAAAAATGTATAATTTCGATTTCAAAATTGAAGTTTATTTTAATACGTAACAGAGCTTAATAACATTTCTTACTAATACTATTATATATTTGATTTAGCAAGTATTGTAAATAAGAAAATATATATAAAATAATATAAATACATTTAAATCTACCAATCAATGTTATTAAATGTAAGGTATTATCATAATTATAATTTATTATCTTAATAGTCTTGATTTAATAATAATTTCACTACGTATAGCTTTTCTTTTTAGGTATCTATAATTTCGATTACATACAATATATATAGTTCACAGTATCACATGATATTGTGAACTTGGTTCACAAGAGGTTTAGAAATCCTTATGCTAGACACGAACGTAGAAGGCTTATACTTTTCAATTATTGGACTATGTGGTATAGTTATAAAATTCCTAAGATGGAAGTTGTAGTTTGGCGGCTTTTATAACTCAAATTGTTATGTACGAGCATGTACGTACTTAGGTAGTTTAATTTAAGAGCACTGATTTTATGTAGTATTGTTAAACAAAGTAAATATTTGTAAATTAAGCATATGTTACATATAGGTTAAAACCTGCTCTTATCTTGGTAAAAGCTATTTCTTTATACGCATACATACCTGCTTACTAAAAAAGTGAATATCGATAATACAAAATAGTATTAACACACTCATATTTGGCTGGTATTAACTGATCTGCACTGATTGGCCTAAATTACGATTACATAATTTAGGCCCAGTTGATATCTGATCAAGATTTAAATAAAATCATCTTTTACAGCGGCATTATTGGTTTTTAATTTTTTTCTAATTTCTTTACACTCTTTCTAATTTTTTTACACTTTCGTACTTTTTTCTAATTTCTTTACACTTTCGTACTTGTTGGTCTGTTGTTTTTCGTCAGCCTTATATTTTACAGATTTCTTTTTTTTTAAATCACTATTTTTATAAATGATTGCTCTTTTCTTCATCGTTAGAGCTTTGTAATTCGTTTTGGTAAGCAGTTACCAATTTTTTTTGGCTTATTATTTTCTTAGTGTTTGAAATTTAGGTCATCTTTGTTTACTTTTCGTTTGCTAATTTTATCACCTTTTCTTTTGGTAGATATATCTCAATTCGTTTAACAAGCAAAATCCGGAACAACAATATTCAAGACGAAACATTTCATTTCCATTATCGTAACCCATACTTGTAAATCTTCAATGATGAGTAAATCTTTTATTTTATTTTTTTTCCTCATTTCATCCTTCTGAGGGCATCTAAGTTGTACATTTCATCAGCTTTATTTTCTTTTTGATTACTTCATCTCAGTGTCTCTACTTACTATCTTTACTTTTCGTAGATTATCTATTCTAATTTTAATTCCATTAACACATGTTATATTATAATCTCTCGGAACTTCATTATTCACCATTTGTATATCGGATGAGTGCTCTTTTTCCAACTCTTTTGTGTTTTCCTTTTCTTTAATCTATTCGTTTTACTAACTTCATTTACATCTTGGATTTCAAATATACTATCGAATGGATTCTCCAATCTTACAACTCTTGCGATCTCGAATTGTTTATTTAACGATAATTTCTCATGATCTATACCTTGCTATTATAATGCTCCTTTCCATCTATGACTCGTTTATTCTTGATGTTATATTATAATCTCTCAGAACTTCATTATTCACCATTTGTATATCAGATGAGTGCTCTTTTTCCAACTCTTTTGCGTTTTCCTTTTCTTTAACGTATTCGTTTTACTAACTTCATTTACATCTTGGATTTTAAATATACTATCGAATGGATCCTCCATTCCTACAACTCTTGCGATCTCGATTTCTCAGTGATCTATGCTTTACTGTTATAATGCTCCTTTCCATCTATAACTCGTTGATACACTAAATCGTCAAATTCACTTACATTCCCAAATATTTTCACAGGAGTTTTATCACACGTTTCTTTGAGATACGTCTTTCCTTGTTAATGTTTTTTGGGTACTTACGTTTTCACGAATCTCATAAACCTTATAACATTCACTTCTTTTCTTCAGGTTTGATGTGGGCAAGTACAAGCAATATGGCCTGGTCTTCGACATTCATAACATATTCAGCCTAAGTCAATGGTACTTTTGCTCTATCTTTAATTCCTTCTAATGTATAAACCTATTTAACCACAACACAAACTAGTGAAACTAACTTGTTAATATTTCTTATTATTTTTTGAACCAACAACAGGTTATATTCTTTCATTTCATTTTTTTTTATTCTTATTATTTACTATACTTTTTAATAACAATTTACTTTTAATGTTTCTTCATAACATTTAATCACTCAACAATTCTCATTGGGGCACCGAATTCCAACAAACACGACTCTTCATAGCACAAGTTAACGAATAAGGCTAATTTTTATCCAGGTCTTTATGTTAGATTATTTCTAAATTACTGTGCAATCGTTGACTTTCTCTGTACAAATTTACTCTCCTGACTACTACGTAACTGTTGTATCATACAGGTCCTATCCCTCTACATCTTAGTAACTATAGTATTGATGATCACAAAGATTAAGTCTCAAGTTTATCTACTAGAACGTTTATTACTCAAAGCCAAAGATGCAAGTTCTCTATAATCAATTAATCATATTGCACGTATTTGACTATCTATATTAGACTATTAATTAACTTGTGCGTTACTAATACTATTTATAATCCAACAGACCATGACCAACTGGTACTCAATGCTACGAATTCCTGGATTACCGAAATCCACTAAATCAATAGGGTTATTTACAAAGAAATCTTGTGGAAGATTTATGATTTGAGCCTGAATTCCAAAGCTAAGTATTGCACTTTATTTTTGAACTTTCACTTTTAAATTTTTAAATTATTCTATATCTTGTTTTCTAATTCTATTCTTTTGCAACCGGGTTTCAATAATATAACTCAATTGTGAATTTGGTTCACAATGTTACGTAGTTACGGATATTTATTTTATTAATTATTAATATATTTTTATTATATTTTTTGTATAGTTTTAATATATAATACTAATATAAATA